TCAGAAATGAGAGGTTGTGTGTAAGATACTCTGTTTACCTTATTGAAAGTGCGTTTTGAATTATTTTCACTTGTTAATAAAAATAATTACTATTCGTTCGGATTTTGAGGTTGAGACTAACCAAAGGAATCTCGAACTCGCTGGAACGGTCTAGGTGGTGCCGAGAGTGCAGACCTCTCATTCAACCAGCAATCATTAGTCGTTGCAATGCATCGTAGTGCTTAATGCATTTTATTGTTTGAACTTCATAGCAATTTACTACCATGGGTATTTGTTAGTGAAGATTGTTGAGGCCAAGTCAAGGCCTATTCGTGTAGTATCAGCTTCTTAATGAATAACACATATATTTTAATTATTGATCCAATTAAATTATAATTTTGATTTCGAAAAAGGATGAATAAACGATAGTGAATTTCCTATTTCCAATTACACTTAATTAATTCATATTCAATTTCACAGATCTTTTGGAAAAAGAATATGTGACTACGATTGCTGAATGCTATTTTCCAAATCCAATGCGAAAAACTCTGTGTTCTCAAATTATGGGCTAGCATGTTTATTTTGATTTTGAAAAAGGACGAATAAATGATAAAGTGAACTTCCGACTTCCAATTACCCTTGTGTAGGTCATATTCAATTTCACAGGTCTAACAGTGAGAATTGATCAAAAGGAAGCTGATTCTGAAGAAGATCAGGTTAGCAAAAATGTCTCTCATCATTTAATTGTTCGATCCGATTGTGTGCAAGATATATAATTAGTAGTAGAAAAAGTAAAATTTATAATTCACCTCTTGGATTGTAGCAAAGACTTGTCCATACTGCCCCGAGTGTATTGGCAGTTCTTAATCTCGTTTGTCAATCTTGCAACTTCGCTGCACTTTTATCCCCCAATCAACGAGATGACACAATGGTCTTCCACCAATTTTTATTCAACTTAGCACGGCAGAAATGAGATAGGTAGAACTATTGATGTAGAGTATTCCGTTAGGCCGCATTTTTTCACTGAGACTTAACACACTTTTACAAACGTAAGTTAATAACTTCGTGTGTACAATAAATTAACGAGTTCACTATGAATGGAAACATACTGAAGTAGGATGACCAGCCAACCAAAGTAATCATCTGATCAATATGAACTGGTCGTTGCGAAGATGAAATCCACCAAGAACCTGATTATCATGCATGACCTTGGAACTTTTGAATATTTCTGATGGGTGAAAGAGATCAAGTGAGTCGGAAATCCTTGTTTTCCCGACTTCATTCCCAAATCCTAACAAAGCTTTTTTTCCTTTACCAACTAATAGGGCAAAATAGCTTGTTTAAATTATTTTATAGCAAATCAAGTCATATTTAATAAATTCATCAAGTTTCATTAACCCTCAAATCCAAAATAACATTATTATAATAATGTGTAAGTTGCGCCTTCACTTGTCTGTAATATCATTGGTCGAAGCTCGGATGGTCTCAATTGTTAGTTTTCATTTCACAAATCTAATTTGCTTCTTCATGAAACTACATTGGGAACAGATGGGATGTGCAATAGACTTACTTCCCAGTAGTGCACCCTGGGCAACGCATACTCATAATGCAAAAATATAAATATTGGCATCAGATTGAGTGAAAATTCCTTTTATTGTTGTCATATATCACTTCTACCTTCCATATATGGTAGACAACCAGTTCTAATTCTAATTCTAATGAATTAACCCGAGGCCAATCGAAATGGGCAAATTGAAATATTCAAAAAAGACTAAAGTCATTAAAACATCTCTTAATCAGCAAAATAAACTGGGAAAAGCTATCTAAAATTTTTATTTTAAGTTTTAATATATTTTTTAAATGAATTTTTAAATTCTAATGTTTCAGTGTATGATTTATATTTTTGTTGAAATTCACGCGATTTAGCCTCTAAGACTATCAGATCATTTTCCTATATTTACCCAGTTATTTGCTCAATGTTTCTAGCTCTGTTCAGCACACTATGCTATAGGGCATCACAACTTAAATTAATTTCACTTACAATTTTCTGCGATTTCATGACTCGTTTGCGTGATAGACTCACTCCATAAGGTGCACCCTGGGCAACGTCTATTCATACGGCAAAAAGTCTATATACCGAAAAATTAATCGCGAACTACCATGACACGAGTTTTTATCATATTTAACCAATTCCGCAGTATTAACCTTACCTTTTCTCTTCCGCTGTGAAGACTCTACCACGTGAATATTTCAATGCAGTATGCACAATTTTTTGCGGCAATAATAATAGTCAAAGTTAATCATAACACTCATGATGTGCCTTAATTTGCAATCCCATTACGAGAGTAATTTATTACGATTAAATCCCTAGAATCACAAAATGCGAAAAGTCACATGGCAATTTACTGCCTTGTCGATGTGCAAATACTGCCGATAACGATTTCACACAATGACAGTTACTATTCCATCTAGACAGCACATATCTATTTTGTAGTTTCATAGCCAAGTTTGAAATTATTCAGGCTTGTAAATTAAATTAGATGGGAACCTGTCATATCTACATAAGAATTCGTCTGAAAATCTTCCATTAAGAGAGCTAAATGACTGATCCAAATTTCTGAGTTAAGCGCACCCCAAAGTAAGGAAAATAGAACAAGATTAATGAAGTACTCTGTTCTACAGAAATGGTAGTATTTATATCAACTGAGAGAATCGAATCCCCCTAATAAAATTACAATCACGCACCTCAAGGAGATTTGATCGGAGAGAATAAAGTACGCAAATGTCAACTAAATGTGAATGCTCAAACGAAAGAAAGCGAAGCGCATGTATAACATATGAGATTACTGTTCATAATTCAAAAAACCTCATGTGCCTGATTCCGAACTTGTTTTAATTTCATCAAGGTCGTCAATAAAAATTTGTCGATCTAAGAGAAATCGAGGCAAATGCGTGGTGGGAGTAGATCGAATTCCTTTGTGCTTTCTACCTACTACTCCTCTCATAATCGTCGATTTGTCTCAACTTTCCCTTAAAGTGTAGTATCTTGGTGTAAAAACTAAATGGCCATATTACCATGAGGACAAATGAAAAAATTCTTGGAACAAGCAGAAATAAAACGTGAGAAAAATAGAAAAAAACCTACCGATCCATAGCTTACAAGGCAGACACAACAAGGGAAGAAGGCGACAAATCGTGAAAAGAAAATGCGAATCTTTTAAAGAAAGGAAAAAGGCGCCTTAGTGTAATCAATGGTTAAAAGTGGCTTAGTGAAAAAAACAGATTTGCGAGTAAAATTGAATGACTGCCACCATCGTCTACTCACAATCATCTGAGAACTCATTGTTGGATCATGGGACATTTGGCAAAGCTAAATTGGCAAGTTTAACAAGGATGTGATATCACATCCAAGTTACGTCAGCTGCAAAGTGTACTACGCTTCCAACCCTGAACGAAGAAATAGCATGTACACTCCATCAGGCTGAAAGATGTGTCGTGCTACCGACTGTGTTGCAGGCAGATGTGGTCCTAAGTGAAATCGATAGCCGCTGCAAAGTAGCACATCTTGATGGCTTAGCATGTGGTGGCATTGGCCAATGACTTGTAATAAGTACTCGACAATCAATACGTTCTGTGTTCTCGTTACTTTGAATGCAACTGAACTAATTGCAACAAAGAAGATCTTTGAGATTTAAACAAAGATTTGTGTTGCCTATCCAAATGAATAACATTCCTAATAAAGTAGCACAGTGGAGAAAATGCTGAAAATTAATTGAGTAAATCATAAACTTCCAAGTTCCACAATAAAACAGAAGACACATTGTAATCAATGATTTATTGAAAAAGTAACAATAGAAGTAATAAAAAAAATTTATCAAAGTGCAATTACTCTTGAGGAATAAGATGTAGAATTCAAAGTTGAAAATATTCGACGAGGATACCTGTGAGTAATAAAAAGAACCAAACACCGAAATAAAGGAAATAAACGATGAGATCAAATTGAATTTAGGGATTAGGACATTTTTTACAAAAAAAGCAATTTAAGCGAGGCATAATTCGAGGCCCAGTATTAGCACATGGGGAGTAAAAGAACTGCGAGTTGTAGCCCCACTTACTTGCTACAAGCACGTTCAATTCTGCAAAAATTAAAAATACTACTGGAGACAATGCAGACCCATACCTAAGCACTACTACAAATGAAAAAAATAGTCAAGAATAAGAATTGGTCCAAATCGCGTGCATTCACCAGAAAAGTAACATCTACGTCTGCATAAGGGGGCGATTGTGTGGTGATATTTTCATTTTAAACTACCTTGAATGACTGAATCTGTTGATATGACAGCAATTATGTCCAACCACCCAATTTCACTGTGAATGGACTACAATGAGCTCTGAATACCAAATATATGGTAGGAGGGGGAGCAAGGAAAATCCCCCCACTCACATATGTTTTGAACACCCACTTTAATCGCCCCCCAGAGAGCTTTCTTTAGTAAACAGCTCAAAATAGCTTTCTGGAAGAGAAGTAGCATACACAAGACGCACCCAACCCTTCACATTCTAAGAAACCAATTGAAATTGCTTCTCAAGTCGAAAAGTACTGCAAATGATAGTGAGTGATGCCTCGGCAACGCGCGACTAGACAATAATTTAAAGAACTGAGGGGACTTAAACTTGAGTTTGAGAAAATCCGTCTAACGTCCAACTCTCGATGAGAAATGAGTGGTGGTTATGCCGTTTGAATCATTTTTTCAAATCGGCCACTCAATGTAGACTGTGCTTATTTTTTAAGGGGGTAAAAAAGAATGATTTAGTCTGCATAAAAAATCGTTCCATGAGAATGGCACTACATAACCCGGATGTTTGCTACGAATAATTCATGTATAGGAATGCTTTCAATATAAAATAAGACCTTGAATGTAATAACCAATCATAGCAAACAACCTCAATTATCATTAAAATAAGCTTTTGCAAATAGTGAAGTTTACAGAAACTTTATAAACCAGGATGAAAGGATAAACTTACTGACTGTTCTTGGTTGCTTTCAGGGTCTTCTTTTCGCGTCTATAAAGGATAATTGGGTAAAAAAGCCTATTAATAAAACCAATTAAAATTTTGAATAAACTAACGCCTGACGGTTCACGATCCGATTCCAATGCAACCTAAAATAATCAAATGGATGTACGTACAAATATTGACAAATATCCACTTCAAATCCCAATACATTAATGGCATTTCTCACCATTTAATAATAATAGCAATAATGGTAATAAGAAAAATAAGTATTTATCTCCAAAAAATAACAATGAAAACAAGATCCAAATGCTGAAGGGCTTATAAAAGCTGAGAAAAGTCCTCAAAATTGTTGAAAATGAAAATAATCAATATAGTAAAAATTACTCAAAGAATATATTAAATAAACGGATAAGCGAAACAAATTCAAACCAAAAATGGTAATTAAACGTACCAGAAGAGCATCGACTTGATCCCTAGTATCTGTTGCGAATTTTAAAAGTTTTTCCAAAGGATTTTCTTTATATTCAAGGGGAATAAAAGAATCTATAACACTCTGTATAAACTTATGGTCCCTCTGTAGTGATGCAATATGCTCGTCAACACGAATTTTTGTTATTTGAGCTTCCTAAAGGAAAAGCAAATTGATTGGAAGAAAATGAGACGGGGAGCTAATATTTTCACAATCATCTACCCCTATATCATTCATGAAGAAAATTTTCTGTTGAATAAGATCAATTGTAAAATCCCCTTGGTGTTCATTATGAGCATTCATTAGGAGCCTATTTAAATCGGCAGCAGACTGAAATAACAGTAATTAAAATATTTATAAAATACCAGTTCTGGAATCCAAGATGACGGATTAATTCCTTCCAAATGGCAAAGTCCAAACAAGCCATTTTCCGATTTCGGAAATATAGACTATTATTAACTTTTGCATCTCTGTTAATGGCATACGTACCTTCACTAGCCAGGCCAATTTACGAGAGGCCAAATTATTTATCGCAATCATAAATATTAAAATCTCTTCAAGACGTTTTTGGAATTTCTCGTTATTTAGGACACCAGAAAAAGGCGTTCCAAAAAAATCATGGAGCATTAGAAGAACATTTGCAAAATTCATACATTTCTTAACCGATTCGCCCATTTCCTTCATGGATGTATCCAATAATTTGTCGATAGATAACTTTCCAGTTGCGTAGTGTCGAAGTAACGCCTGATACGCATCTATGCATCTAGAAGACTCTGTATTAATGGCTTCCTTTACTAAATAGAAGAAAAGTATTAAAAAACTTCATTGAAATGAGATTTATTTGTTTTAAAATGAGCGATCCACTTAAAAAGGCCTTAGACAGATTTGTTATTTAGAACAAAATATTTATACTCATACTAATCTTCACATTCTCACTATCAGACCAAGCGAACATCGTCTTGAAAGGTCAAATGTTAACGCGCGATTTATACGCTTAAACAAGATATCTGTATGTGTTATACTAATTTACTGTTTGTTTATATATTAAGATCGGGATGAATCTTATTTTGCTTCTCTAAGAAATATTTTTAAAGATTATGAATAAAAATTTATTATCACTCTTCTGGGAAATTCAATCATTAATTTTAAATTGTG